TTTGGATTTAGAGTCTCTATTCCATTGAGAAGTCATTTAAAATTCTAATAGGTCTGATTTATATGTTATTTGGTTTTCTTCCCTTGCAACTTTAAGGATTCTTTATTTGGTCTGAATGCTTTGTGTTTTGAATATTATGTGCCAAAGGGACTTTCTTTTCTGGTCTAGTCTATTTGATGTTCTATAGGCTTATTGGTGCTTTGATCGGGATCTCCTTTGTTCAATCAGGCAACATTTATGATTTTGCAGATAATATTTTTTGTGGCTTTTTCCTGTATTTTCCTTTCTATGTTCCTTTTATTATTGTATTCAAGCTGTTCATAGTGTTCTCATTTTCCTGGACAAATCTGTACCAGGGAGCTTTTTGTTTTGACACTTTCTTTTATTGACATATCCATTTCTTCTATCATATCTTCAATGCCTGTGATTCTATACTCCATCTCTTATTTTGGTTGGTATAGCTAGTATCTGTTGTTCCGTTTGAGTTGCTAACTTTTTCATTTCTAGATTTTCCTCAGCTTAAGGTTTATTAGATTGATTTTGTTTACACTTCTAATACTTGAATCATTTTAATTTCCCTCCATGGTTTACTCACAGTTTCATTGATTTCTTTAAGATATTTATTTGTTTCTTTTTTTAGGGACCTCCATCATATGCATAAAGGCAGTTTTAAGACTTGTCATTTTGTTTCCCGCTGTGTTGGAACATTCAGGGACTACTTGGCAGACTTATGTCTACTGGAGACCTATGTCTAGTGGGTACAGTGTACATATTGTCCTGACCACCATTGATAGTGTTTTGGTGTTGGTATCTTTGCATCTGTGATTGGGAAGTTGGGATTCTAGGTTCTGGTTTCTGGTCCTAATAGGTGTGGATATTGGGGGTAACAGGTAAAATATTTTTTCTGGGTATTTGGACCTTTGACTTAAGAATGGGGATGGCCTTCAGGTTGGGGTGGGGGTTGGTGGAGAGAATTTGCAAGAGATAAGAATTCAAGGTATCCTACTAAAATCTTCTTAGTTAGATACCTGGTAATGTTTGCAATGATTGATGAGAAGCCATAGCAGAAGGTTTGCCACTGTGCTGGAGATGAGAGTAGAGGATTGGAGTTATAGCAACAGAGGGAGGCAAAGTTAGTCTGTTGGCTTCCCTGGTCAGAATGGCCTGCAGATGAGTCAGTGTCAAATCAATGAGTGAAAGAAAGGAAGTTTGGAGTAAGATCTGTGTGCTGCATTGGAGACAGTTGCAATAAGGAAGGAATGTTATAGCAGGTTCTCTGCTTCAGATCTGGGGATGAGACTGGGGGATTAGTTTGGAGGAGTGGAAGGAGTGGTGAAGAGCTGCATTTTACCTATGTGTGTCCCTGGCTGCAGTGCCCTGTGTGTTATCAGAGAGTACCTGATGGAGTTTGGGGGTGGGACAAAGATACAAATGGGAGAAGGGAGGGTTAGGGGGGGAATAGTTTTGGAATCCACTAGAGATGAGGTAGGGAGAGGCTTCTATGGGTATTCTGCTGGAGAGTTAATTATGAGATTGGTAGATTACAGTTGGAGCAATGGAGGGAGAAGCGATGCCTCTGTTGTTAGCCTATCTGTTTCCCTGACTGGAGTCTATCTCTTAACTTATAACCAGTGTGTCTACATGCAAGAATAACAATATGTGCATTTAAAATACAGCTATTGTGCCTCATTTTTGTCTTAATAAGCATAAATGAAACTATAAAATAATCTTGACACTCAATGCTTTCCAAATCAAAGAAAATATAGTTGAATAAATATTTAGTGTATAATTCCTAATCAATATGTCTAGAGACTAGTAAATAACCATGTTTCCAAAGAAATTATGTCTAATCCTAAACTATGTACATATTTTCATGAAATGTAAAACCATATATAATTTAATTATCTTGGAATATTAAAATAAATATTGTATATTTTGTTTTGTTTCCTTGAATTTCATTTATATGGAGCTAGAGTTTATTAAGTCATGATATGACTTAATATTCATTATTAAGAGAAAATTATTTTTTTCAGTAAGAGAAGAGAGATTTCCTCTAATTACTTCTATGTGTTTCATGAACACAAGTTATAAGGCTTCCCCAGGGTCTATGTCCCTAGTGCCAAGTAGTTACATATTAAACAAATAACAATATTATGAACTAAATTGTCAGGTTTCTGTCTTCTTCCTGACACCTGTTTGTTCCTTATAAATTGTGTGTGTATTTTTGAAATTTGTTTCAATGATAAATTACAACTAATTTGAGAGAATATAAAATCATTTGTATTTTGAAGAAGACTGTATATTGGTTTATTAATTTATCAATGACATTATCAAAAGTGGATAATGGAAAATACTATATTTTGGTGAGTTACTACAATGTTTTTATCTTTTCATTCTTATGGGATGTACATGGAGTCCATACATATCAGTGAGCTGAGAAAGAATAGTACACTCTTCGTTATTAGGTTTCTAATCTTGAATTCTAATGTTTCTTTCACCACTGTACTGAATTTAAATACACAGGGCTTTTCTGTGTATCATTGTCTATCCTAGAACTCACTCTGTAGACCAAGATAGGCATCAATTGATAGATATCTGCCTGTCTCTGCCTCCCAAATGCTAGGATTAAAGGCATGTGCCACTACCACCCAGCACTTTCCAGTAATTTTAAACTAATAGTTAACTGTAAGTTTATTCTCATGACTCTAATGAATTCAGATGCACAAAATAAATACATAAAACATGTCCACTTAAAATAGTCCAAAAGGTAGAGCTCGTTATACAAAATGCAATATAGTAGTTGCAAGAAAATGGAACAGGATTAAAAATACTGGAATTGATGAAGAAAAAGCAGTTTTCTGAGAAGAGCTGTGTGCATATCTTGTCAAGAAAGCAGCATATAAACCACTAAACAATATTTTTCACAGATGATATAAAGTTAAGTTATCTTTAAGAGCCAATATGGTAGCTTTTTAAAAATTATTCAATTTTTATATTTCTTTCATTTTATTTTTCTCTTTCCTCCTTCCAAGCACTCTCGTGAACTCCTCCATGCTATTTTTCAAAGTCATAGCCTTTTTTTACATTATTTATGCACATTTTTATCAAAGCACCCTGGAAACAGAAACAGGTGTATCTCTGCAGTTTTAAGGAAATCCTGGCCCACATAGTGAGCTCCATGTCATCCACCACTACATAGTGAGACTGTGTTTTTTTTTTTTAAATTACTGATAAGAATTAATAAAATATTTTGTTTATGTCCTTCTCCATGATTCAGTGGAGTCCATGAAAACCAATATTAATTTGTGCATTTTATAAAATTATATCAAAACAGGAAATAGTGTCTTTATGATTATCAACTGAGCAAAGGACCCTTAATGAAAATGATATTTGAGCCGGGCATTGGTGGAGCATGCCTTTAATCCCAGCACTCGGGAGGCAGAGGCAGGTGGATCTCTGTGAGTTTGAGACCAGCCTGGTCTATAACATCTAGTTCCAGGACAGCCTCCAAAGTCACAGGGAAACTCTGTCTCGAAAAACCAAAAAAAAAAAAAAAAAAAAGCCCACGGAAAATGATATTTGATTGGTAATGACATGTGATTGGTAATGTTATACCTTTGATTTGTTGGTCATTGACTGCAGAGTACTTTCCAACAGCCATGTGAACAGGGTAATCATTAACCACCAGAGAATAGTGGAAAAGCAAGGAAAACAATTTATAACCTAACACTGGCAAGGGAAGCATCAGTGCACAGATAAACCCAAAAGTGAATCTTAGTCCTTAATCTAAAAGGAGACAAGATACAGCTTTATAACTTTTCTTTTGTTTCATGTTTAAATGATGTAAACATTGACATATCATTTAAGTAACATTTTTGTAAATATTCTGGATGGTTTGTCTTCAAGAACCATAATGGATATGATGGTATCAAAGATATTTGTAGTGGTAGCAGATTATTATTGGAGGCTTCTCAAATTGTGTAGTAATAGGACAGTAGAAATGATATAAGTTCATAGATAAGATTTTCATCAACACATGTGACTGATTGTATAACACTCAGAGTTCCAATAAGGTACCATGTCATGGACATTAGATGGTATAGATAATGGTCTACTATTAGCATCAATAGTGACAGGAATTATGGGAAATTATTTGTGGTTACAGACAAGTTCAAGAGTTGTGTCAGTTCTCTACATATTCAACATATGCAATTGTAATTATTATCCAATATTTGGGGGACACAGAACAATACAACAGGAACATCATTTGCACTTGAATATCATTCATTTTCTCTCTGGACATGCTCTTCATTGACCAGATCACTAAAGCATTTCCAAATGTTTCAAGTTAAATATTGTATGTATTACTGAAAATAGACTTTTAATGCTAAAATATTTAGGTTTACTTTAATCTCTAATTTCTAACTTATAGATGGTTATGTTCTCCTTTAATGCAATGTGCTATGAACACATGAGTGAAAATGAACAAAAGGTAGGAAATGTGAACGTTTGAAGACTATTCCAAAATCCTTCTACTTAGTGTCATGTTTTACATCCAGAGCCATATACTGTGTATATAGTATGCACAGACCTTCTCTAACTTGAACTTATGGACACTGTAATTTTCTTAGTTCTTGAAGAACTTTATTATATGTCTTTAATGTCATGGTTTCATCATGAAGTACTCTAGCATCAAATAAATGCATATATAATTACCATATGTCTATAAACATAAACCATAGTTCTCAAAGAATAATAATGATGGGTACTACATTTTAATTCCAGACAAGAAAAATACAATAGTAGAGAACGAAGGACATTGCCTTCATTGCTAATCACTGATCAGCCACGTAAGAACCAAAGTGAAGCAGAACACTTATGAATTTAATATGCCTATATCTGACTTCATATTTCTTGATGAGCCTCACCTGAATTCCTACCACTCTACTCTCTCAAGTTCTGTTAAATTTCATTTTCATTTTTCAACTTTCATAATCTGAATGATGCTGTCACATCAACTGATGAACCAGAGTTCTGTTACTACATTCATCTTGGTGGGCTTCTCAGAATATCCACAGCTCCAAATACTTCTATTCCTCCTGTTCTTGACCATCTACTCAGTGACTTTGATGGGCAACCTGGGCATAATTGTGGTTATAAGGATCAATCCCAAACTTCATACGCCCATGTACTTTTTTCTCAGCCATCTTTCATTTTTGGATATATGTTATTCTAGTGTCTTTACACCCAAACTTTTGCAGATCTTGGTTATGGAAGACAGAACCATTTCTTTCAGAGGATGCATGGCACAATTCTTCTTCATTTGTACATTTGTGATTACAGAGATGTTCATGTTAGCAGTGATGGCCTATGACAGGTTTGTAGCTGTTTGTAATCCCCTGCTCTACACAGTTGTAATGCCTCATAAGTTCTGTGCTCTACTAGTAGCTGGTACTTACTTGTTGGGTGGATTATGTGCTGTGATACTCATATACACTCTTTTACAGCTATCTTATTGTGAATATGGCATCATTAATCACTTTGGCTGTGAGTACTCTGCTGTCATCTCTGTATCGTGTTCTGACTCCTCCTTTAGCCAGATGACATGTTTAGTCATTTCTATATTCAGTGAGTCTTCTAGTGTCCTGATCACTTTAGCCTCATATGTGTTCATAGTTGTTACTATTATTAAGATGCCTTCCAAAGGAGGACTACGAAAAGCCTTCTCCACCTGTACCTCCCACCTGACTGCCATCACAATCTTTCATGGGATCATACTTCTCCTATATTGTGTGCCCAACTCAAATAGTTCACGGCTCTTTGTCAAAGTTGCCACTGCTCTTTATACAGTCATGATCCCCATGCTGAACCCCCTTATCTACAGCCTTAGAAATAAAGATGTGAAAGAGACAGTCATGAAACTTATCAGGTCCAAACTGCACTCTCACTTGACATAATTGTGTGTGTGTGTGTGTGTGTGTGTGTGTGTGTGTGTGTGTGAGAGAGAGAGAGAGAGAGAGAGAGAGAGGGAGAACTACTGTCCATATGTCTCACCAATCAAGATAACAATATAGTATACCTCAACTTAATGAATATTGAAGCAAAAGTGAAATCAATTAATTGTTTATTTTATTGTAATATCACTTAAATCACTTATCTAGTGACACAAAACAATACTACTAAATTGCATCTTGGATCTTGCATTCTCTCCCAGGGTCTATTCCTCAGCAGTGAATCATAAATGAGTCTAACTCATTAATTAACCAACAAGAAAATATATTTATTTCTTTATCCTTCTTAAACATTTCTCTTTCCATGGCAGGATTCACAATACTAAAGTAGATCTCATCTTCTTGCCCCTTAAGAGTGGCCATCACAATGAAGTTTTTCTCAAGATTTAACAGTAATCTATTTTTGGCATCCTCATTAATAATACACATCTCTTATCATTTCTAAAAATGTACATGTCTGTTGACCTTTCCACATAGATGACACTGTTGTAATAGAATCCCAGTGTACTTTTGAAAATAAATGTTTTCAGCAAAATAATATTTACCTTCATGTTTACTTTCATTAAAATAAAATAACTTAAGAGGCCATTTAATTCCTGAGCAGAACAATAGTGGAGTAGTGCTGGTATCTTACCACCCGGTTATAAATACTGGTTCCACTGCCAGCAGCCCCATAGACTGCCCAAGTCCCACAACTGACACACATATTCAGGGGGCTTAGTTCGGTCTTATGCAGGTTCTCTGCTGTCAGTCTGGAATCATTGAGTTCCCACTTGCTCAGGTCAGCTGTTTCTGTGGGTTTCTCCAACATGGTCATGACCCCTTTGCTCATATTATCACTCCCTGCTCTCTAAAATTGGACTTCAGGAGTTTGGCCTCATTCTTAGCTGAGCATCCCTGCTTCTGCTTTCATCAGCTATTGGATGATAGCTCAGTGATGACATTTAAGATAGTCATCAATCTCATTTTAGGGGAAAGGCATTTAAGGTATCCTCTTCAGTATTGCTTAGACTCTTAGTGGGGGATCATCCATCCCCCTTGTGTCAAGTTTCTCATTAACCCATTAATGGTTCCCTTTATCAAAGTATCCCTTTCTTTTCTCTCCTTATCTATCCTTCCCCAACCCCTTCTCTTCCTTCCCCTTCTTCTCCTCCCCTCACCCGTTCTCTTCTCCTCTCTTCCTTACATCCTTCTCCCTCCTCCCATACTCCCAATTTGCTCAGGAGATCTTGGATGGGAGGGTCCATTTATATCTCTCATAGGGTCCTCATCCATTTCTGGTGGGAGTGCAAACTTATAAAACGACTTCGAAAATCAGAATGGCAGTTTCTCAGAAAATTGGGAGTCAGTCTACCTAAAGACCCAGCAATACCACTCTTGGGCATATACCCAAAGATGCAAATTCATGCCACAAAGACATTTGCTTAATTATGTTCATAGCATCATTATTTGTAATAGCCAGAACCTGGAAACAACCTAGATGCCACACAACTGGAGAATGGATAAAGAAAATGTGGTACAAATACACAATGGAGTACTACTCTATTAATAAACAATGGCATCTTGGAATTCAAAGGCAAATGGATGGAACTGGAAGAAACCACCCTGAGTGAAGTAACCAAGACACAGAAAGAAAAACATGGTATGTACTCAGTCATAAGTGGATATTAGACATTAAGCAAAGGATACCCAGGCTTCAATGCACAACCCCAGATAATCTAGGTTTGTTTCTTTACTAAACAGAGAGAGATCGTTGAGTGCCCAACCAATGACTCTTCTAGCCTAAAACACATGACACTAGAATAATCCTAACCCTGACATTGCCTGGAGCTCTGAGATCCACAGGGTAAATGACCCAGAGACCTAGCATAGAACCAAACATGAATGGATAGAACAAAATGTCAATGTAATGATACCTAACCATATTTCATAATACACATAGATTGGTGTCTAGCTTAATTGTCATCAGAGGGACTTCAACCAGCAACTGATGGAAAGACATGCAGACCTACAACCAAATATTAGGCAGAACTCAGGAAATCATGCAGAAGAGGGGGAGGAAGGACTGAGAGGACCATAACAAAACTGACAGAATCAAATAATCTGGCTGCTAGGGGCTCACAGCAATGGAATCAACAACCAAGGAGCCTGCATAGGACTGACCTAAGCCTCTGCATATGCTTTGTGTAGCTTGGTGTTCTTGTGGGACTTCTAACAATGTGAACAGGGGCTGTCTCAGACACTTCTACTGTTTTTTGGGATCCTCCTCTTCATACTTGTTCTCCTTGCCTAGCCTTAATACATGGGGAGGTGCTTAGTTTTAATGTATCTTGATATGCCATGTTAGTTGATATTCATGGTAGACCTGCCCTTTCCTAAACAGACATAGAGGAGGAGTGGATTGGGGTATTGGAACAGAAGGGGGTTGGGAGAATAGAATGAGAGAGGAGGGAGGGGAAACTGCATGTAAAATGAATAAATGAACAAATAAATAAATTATTAGATTTATTTAAAAACAGAAAATTGAAGTGAATTTGAATGAATGGGATGGGAAGTAGGGAGGGTTTGGAAGGAGTTGAAGGAGTAGAAAAGGGTGAGCAGAATATTTTCTGAAAATATTTTTAAAAAAATAACAATTCATTTTTTTAATGGTAGACTCACAACCTAAACATAAAGAAATTGCTCTTATATTTGGTGCTCAGAACCTGTTATCAAATTCTATTTGGTGTTATGAAATATATTTTCTTTCCATATACCATAAGAAGAATATTGTTCTTATTTCACAAATTCATGATCATTTTATGTTTTGCCATTGGTGCCCATACATTTATTGGTTGTGTATTATTAACTGAAAATTTGATTGATGCTATTTTATACTTATATTCAATTTAAAAAATAATATGATGTAGTATAATTATATTTTACTCAGCTTGTAGCATAACACAAATATTGTTAGGTCAGCATATTTTAGTTGATAAAAGCAAACAAATATAATCCCCAAGAAATTCAATGGTAAATTATTATATTAAGAATTTACTGAAGTAGCTGTGAATGTTTATAGAAGTTTGGAATTTGAGAGTTTGATAACTTGATCTGTGAACCTCTAATATGCCTGTGTGACCTTGCTTAAAGCACCTTTGCCCACTGCTCTTTATTTAAAACAGTAATAATGGAGTTTTGGAAATATCAAAATCATCCTTGAAAAAGCTGGGATGTATTTGTTTGCATGCTATGTTTTAAGTAAATTCCTGTGTGTAAGCCCCAAAAGAAGGAGTGTGGTGATCTTAAAGTACAAATCAGTAATCGTGGAGGAATGTTCAATATTGTTATACTGGCAGTGTTTTTAATTACAGAGAAAACAAGCCTCTAGACACACTTGTGTCCCATTATCTAGATTAAGTTAGTCTGTGACCATATGAGGGATTGTCTGGATTAGGTTGATTAAGATAGGCAGTACCATTCCCCAGTACATTGTTCTGGACTGTATGAAAAGGTGAAAACTATCTGAGCACCAGCATTTACTCAGTCTGCTTCTGCCATGACAGACTTAACCTTGGAACTATGAACTAAAACAAAGCTTTCCTTTCTTAAGTGGCTTTGTAAAGTACCTTTTGGAAAGAACAAGACAAGTAATCAATACCTGTGGTACAGGGATGTTGTAGCATAGCCTCTTTTCTCTCTGGATACATGAAGATCATCCCCTCACTTTCTTGCAGTTGGTTGAGTTAGCTGAGACTACTTAATTGAACAGTGGAGGAGATCACAATACTCTGCCTGTGAATTCACTGAATCGGTAAAGACTTGAAGAAGTAAGTAAAACATTTATGCCATAGGTTAGTAGGCTGTGGAATGTGCAGCTAAATGGAATCAGTGTGAGCATTGTGGAATCAGAGGATTATTAAATAACTTTCAGGTGTTAGTGAAAGAGTCTTTATAGTTTAACATGGATCTTAAAGTTATTTAAAAGTAGCACCAAAACTTCAGTGTGTTTAATGAAGAAGGTGTCACATATGAACAAATGTGTGCACTGTATTACAATAATATCAGGTGAATTAGAATATTCATAGTTTAAATTGTCTTCAGACATTATTTTTAAATGTTATTATTTTACATTAAATGCCATAGTTTGGAAATAATGATATATCCTCTTTCATCTCACCCATGGAACACTGCTATAACAACAGTGCAAAGCAGCACACCTCACTCAAAGCCTGGTCCTAAGCACCTCCCTGCTTTCTTTCAAATCTATGGTCTCGCTTTCATTAATTGTTGTGCATGCACATATGTATATGGATATGCATATATATTCCTAAAAATATAAATACAACCCAATCAGTCTGTATAATGTTACATGTTTCTATGTTTCCAGGTCTTGAGTAGTCAATTGGTGTTCTCTTCCAATCTCAGTATTGCTTTTCACCTGCTGTCAAGGAAATCTTTTTTGCAACAGATGAAAAACATCACACAACCCCTGTTTTTGTTTTTGTTTTTGTTTGTATGTGTGTGGGTTCTGGGAATTCAAATTCAAATGATCACGCTTGTATGGTGAGTGCTTTAGTTACCAAGGTGGTACTAATGTTGAAGTCGCAGGTGCTGGTGGTGAAGGTGCTGGTGTATCTGGAGGACCCTTTGTGGGTTGACCTTGGCCCAGGCAGGAGGAGTGAACCTGAAAGATACATTCAAGAATGGGTGGGGTAAAATGGGATTTCTTCATACAGAAGCACAACTTTCCCCAGGAAATTGCAGGTATCTGTAAGACAGCTGGAACAAGATTTACATCTTGGTGACATCGCAAAAGGCTATGGCTTTAGGATAAAGGACATGAACATTTTTAGAACACAGAGGAAATTTAAATCCCTGAACCTCTGAAGTTACATCTGAAACCTGTTAATTCCTGACTACGAGAACTGTAAAAGAGGCACACCTGTCTGTACTTTTACCAGGAA